GGTAAGAGAGATTATTCAGGGGCCTGATGAATCTCCCTCTATGTTTCTGGAGAGAATTATGGAGGCATACAGGAGATATACTCCTTTCGATCCTCAGGCAGAGGATCAAAAGGCATCTGTCACGATGGCCTTTATTGGGCAAGCTGCCCTGGATATTAAAAGAAAGTTACAACGCTTAGGTGGATTACAAGATATGACTTTGAGAGATTTGGTCAGAGAAGCCGAGAGGGTATACTATAAGAGAGAAACTGAGGAAGAGAAGGAACAAAGGAGGGAGAAAGAAAGGGAGCAAAGGGAGGATGAGAGAAGCAAAAGACAGACTGAGGCATTGACTAAGGTCCTGGTCACACAACAAATAGGCCAGAAGTTAGGAGACAGGGAGACAGAAAGGGATACCTGGGCCCACGCCAGAGGCCACCTCTGGCCTCAGATCAATGTGCCTACTGTAGAGAAAAAGGACCCTGGGTCAAAGAGTGCCCTAGAAAGAGACAGCCACGCCAGCCAGCCATTCTGACTCTGGAGGATGACTAGGAAAGTCGGGGCTCGGATCCCCTCCCCGAGCTCAGGGTAACTTTTGAAGTGGAGGGGACCCCAGTAAACTTTGATGTGGATACAGGGGCAGTATACTCAGCCCTCAAGGCCCCCTTGGGCCCTCTATCAACTAAAAGGTCTCTGGTTCAAGGGGCTAACGGCAGTAAATATTGGGCTTGGACAACTAAGAGGACCATGGACCTGGGGAAAGGAAAAGTCCATCACTCCTTCCTAGTGATCCCAGAATGCCCAGCCCCATTGATGGGCAGGGATCTGCTCACCAAACTCCGGGCCAGAATAACTTTTAACCCTGAAGGCCCCCAAATGAAATTTCTAAATCCTTCAGTAAAAACTCCTATAGTCATGGCTTTAACTATGTCAGTAGAAGATGAACATCAACTCTTCACACCCCCAAGACTGATCAAACAGGCGAGCTACCCCAGAGATGGATAACAGACTACCCAGATGCCTGGGCAGAAACTGCTGGGTTAGGCCTAGCTGTAAAACAACCTCCAATAATGGTGGAGTTAAAAACCTCAGCCTCCCGATTAACATTAAACAATATCCTCTGAGCAAAGAAGCTGAAGATGGGATAAGGCCCCATATTCAGAAATATCTGGCCTCGGGGGTCCTAAGGCCCTGTCAATCAGCCTGGAACACTCCCCTGCTACCAGTAAAAAAGCCAGGAACTGGGGACTATCGCCCCGTTCAAGACCTAAGAGAGATCAACAACAGAGTGCAGGACATTCACCCCACAGAACCTAATCTGTACAATCTGCTTAGCACCCTGAACCCCGAGCGAAAATGGTATACTGTCCTGGACGTAAAAGATGCTTTCTTTTGCTTGCCTCTGCATAAAGATAGTCAGTTGCTGTTTGCTTTCGAGTGGGTAAGCCCAGACACCGGAACGTCTGATCAACTAACTTGGACCAGACTCCCACAGGGGTTCAAAAACTCCCCCACTCTCGTTGATGAAACTCTCCACAGAGATCTCAACAACTTCAGAACTACGCACCCCGAAGTCACCCTGCTTCAATATGTGGATGACCTGCTACTGACAGCCGACACCAAGGAAAACTGTGAGTCTGGGACCCAAGCACTATTATCCGAGCTTGCTCAACTTGGGTATAGAGCTTCTGTCAAAAAGGCCCAAATTTGCCAGCAAGAAGTAATCTTCCTGGACTATTCCCTTAGGGGCGGTAAACAATGGCTCACTGAGCCCAGGAAACAAACCATTGTGCAGATACCACCCCCATCTAACAAGAGGGCAAATGAAGAGGCTAAATTGACAGCCCTAAACGGAGAAACCATGTTAACACTTTCCACACCGGGGGAACATAAGGACACTGACACTGAACTCCTCGACTTCACTGAGCCCAGCCTGCAATTTCAGAAAGCCCTACACTATGTTAAAAATGTACATCGACTCACTCACCTTGGTTCAAAGAAACTGCAGGCAATCCTGAAGGATCAGGAACAGAGTTTTCCACTAACCGGCTCACAGCGAAGGAAAATAGCTGAACGGGTAACAAAAGCCTGTGGGGCCTGTCAGTTGGTTAATGCTTACCCCTCCAAGCTTCCTGTAGGAAGGCGCCTTCGAGGAACCAGACCAGGACAATTCTGGGAAGTGGACTTTACGGAAATTAAGCCAGCAAGGTACGGACTTAAATATCTCCTAATCTTTGTAGATACATTTTCAGGATGGATTGAAGCCTTCCCCACAAAAAAAGAAACGGCACAAATCGTGGTCAAGAAGATCCTGGAAGATATTTTTCCAAGATACGGCCTGCCTAAGGTAACAGGGTCTGATAATGGACCGGCGTTCGTGTGCTGAGAGCCATTGCCAAGTAGGATGCATCGTAATCCTTGCCAGCGTACCCCATGTTAATTTGCTGCGACCTTGCTTGTGCGTTTGAGAAAGGTGACCCTGCTCAATGACCAGGGTGGATCCAGGATTAGGGTGTATCCTGCAGGAAGTATCCCCATCCTTGGGTTTAGGGCGTGACAATAGGAGTTTTAGGGAAGTTGGAGGTTGAAGATTATTCCTGCTGGGAGTAGGGCGTGCCTGCTGCCTGAGTTCCCGCTGAGTTCTCCTGGAGAGAACGTATTTAGGACGTGAATTGTGCAGGGGATGGGGATTGCCCTTGGACCTGTGTGGAGGCGGCGTGAGATCGGGAATAAAGAATTGCTGTTTGAACCCACAAAGCTGTGTGGTGGCTCGTGATTCTGTGCCAAGCCGAGACCTTGGCATTTGGCATTCGTGGCCCAGGTAAGTCAGGGGTTGGCCAGGACCCTGGGATTAACTGAAAATTACATTGTGCTTATAGACCCCAGAGCTCAGGACAGGTAGAAAGAATGAATAGAACCATTAAAGAGACCTTGACGAAATTAAGCTTGGAGACCGGCATAAAAGATTGGACTATGCTCCTGCCTTATGCACTGTTTCATGCAAGAAATACTCCCTCTGTTTCTTTGTGTAACCTCACTCCCTATGAAATTCTCTATGGTTCCCCTCCTCCAGTAAGGGACCTGACCCCAACTCTAAGACCTAACGATTCCTTCCACACCCCCTTGCTTGACAGACTTAAAGCTCTTGAAAGAACCCAGCGATACCTGTGGAAACAGCTGGCCACTGCCTACCAACCTGGGGACGAAGGGACTCCACACCGATATCAAGTGGGAAACTTCATCTATGTAAGATGACATCAGGCGTCATCCCTAGAACCCCGCTGGAAAGGACCATACCAGGTGCTACTTATAACACCTACAGCGGTAAAGGTAAACGGAATCACTTCCTGGATCCATGCCTCTCATCTCAAAACTGCGCCCTGTCCAGACTCTGGCTGGGAATTGGAAAAGACTGGTAACCCTCTAAAATTGCGTATTCACTGTGTGGATAGGGCTATGGACTCTCCCCCTGACCACCAGTAGTCCTAACCCTCATCAGCCCGTTCAGCAGCAATGGCTGATCATAAATCCTACTGGACAGGAAGTATGGTCTATCTCGCATACAGCCCCCTTAGGGACCTGGTGGCCGTCTCTCCACCCAGACATTTGTCAGCTGGCTATAGGTCTTTTCTATTGGGTATCCCTGATGAAGAGCCACTGTGTCCACCCGGTGCCAGGGAACAAGGAGCCCCTCCTGGCCCCCGTGTGGTCAGCACAGTAGCCCAGAGAGCAGGACAGCTGGTGACAGGTCACCTAAGGAGCAGGTCCTACTGAGCACAGGGACAAGGCAGCTCCAACCCTGGCCAGACGCGGCTCAGAGGGCCGGGCAGCTCGTCCAGCTGTGCCCACTCCCCTGCCCAGGGACGTGGCTTGGGGGAAGCGGCCCAGGAGGCTCCCCGTCCTGCCTTCCCGGGACCTGTGCACCCCAGCCAGGGAGTGGCCAGGGAGTGGCCAGGGAGTGGCCAGGGAGTGGCCAGGGAGTGGCCAGGGCCCTGCCCGGGTCTGCACAGACAGGGGGAATGGACACTGGACACGGCGAGAGAGGAGGGTCAGCCCAGCACAGCCAGGGCAGACATGAGTCATCAGTCCAGGAGGAGGACATCTCCCGGGTCCCACTCGGGCGCCTGGTGGCCAATTATCTGCCGAAAGTACCAAGGGGAAAATGTCCCCAAGAGGGGCAGGGGGCTGAGAGGGTGCCCAGAGCTGGGTCCAAGCGGGCCGTGGGTTCCGGCTGGACCTCCCGGGCCGTCCGGTGCAAGCTCTGGGGGTTTCTCAGGGGATGAAGGCTCCTTGGGGTCAGCCGAGGACCAGGGCCTTCGGATGGCCGTTAACACCAGCAGGCGACTCAGCGGGCAGCGGCCTCCCCGAGGGAACACAGCATCACGGGGTTCACTGGCTCTCACAGCGGCCCAGTGTGACCCCACGGGCTGACCCGTCAGTGGCCACAGTCCCCTGGACACGCCTCGGCTCCCCGGCCCCTTCGTGACGGCTGAAAGGCTGGACTCCACTGGACGTGAGGGCAGTGCAGACGCCTCTCACCCCCCCCTCCGGCTTGCAGGCCCTGGGTCAGGGCTCTTCCTCCCTCGGACCCGAGCCCTGAGCCGACCCCAGAGCCGCCCCGTCCCCCACGGCCTCGCTGACCTGCAGAGTAGCCAGGCCTGATGGGCGTGGCTGGAGGAAAGGACAGAAGCCAGAGCCACCCGCCTGGAGGGTCCTGGGGACACACTCGCCAAGTAGGGGCTTCCAGGGCTGTCCTCCCAGGCAGGGCCAGCCGGGACCCCCGCCCACCCGGATCTGTCGGGTGGCCCACGAATCCGGTGGGAGCGGGCCCTGCTCCCCAGGCCGCGGGGCACCCGGAGGCCCCTGAGGTGCCCCCTGACACCCTTCAGGGCAGGGACCGTGGCTCAGCCTCGAAGGAAGCACATGGGAAACAGAACCAGGAGGGACAGGGTGCAGGGACCAGGTGGACAGAGGCCACGGCGAGGTCTCCGCTCAGAACAGAAGGCAGCTTACAGTGAGGGTCAGGGCCGCCAGGTTTATTTGACTCAGTGAGACAGGGCCACTCAGGAGACGCAGAGTGGGCAGAGGACAAAGGGGGAGAGACCAGGGTGCTGCCAGGATGCGGGGGTTCCTGGAGGAGGACACTCAGTGGGGCCAGGTGAGGAGGGACGCGCAGAGCAGGCGTGCCGGGCAGGCGGGCCTCTGTCCCTGACTGTGCAGCCGCATGGAGGTACCCGGGTCTCCTAGGGGCAGGCTTCCCTGAGTGGAGGCCAGCAGGGGAGGGGACAGCAGCCCTGCGGGTGCGGTCACCCTGGACACAGACCAGGTTCCCAAGTCAGCCCACCCCACACCACGCCCAAGCTCCCACCATTGGCCCAGATGTGCAAGCAGGTCTCCAGGGGGGACGCTGCTGACGGTCACTGCCTCCAGCGGGGCAGGAGGAGGGCAGGGCAGACCACCCACGCCCAGAGGGCACGCCACACGGGGGTCGCCAGGCTGCCCAGGCTCAGCACTGCCAACCTGAGGGGCAGGGGCTCCAGGCAAAGAGGTCCAGAGTGGGCCAGGGTCCCGTGAGTCCTGTGGGAGTCAGGGTTGGCCAGGGTTACTCTGGAGGGTGGGCCCTGGGCCCGCTGGCCTGGGGACATGGGTGGTCAGCAGCAGGACCTCTGGCCCAAGGAGACACCACAGCAGGCCGGGCGGGAGCAGGTGGGGCGGCAGAGCAGGGACACGCAGGAGGCCGGGCGGCAGCAGCTGGGCTGGCAGGAGGAGGCACAGCAGGA